GCCAATTGCTGGAGATGCAAAGAACCAGTCATGTTTAAAGACAGCTCTCAAGGGTGTTCGTGCAGTTATATTCTCAAGTGTATGCATCTCTCTTTTCAGGGTCGCTTTGGGACCTGGTAAATATCAGGAAAGAAAATGTGGGGCAAGATGAAAGGGAGATTTGTAAGGAAATAAATTGGTTGCAAAGTTAAGAGATGTTTCAAACTAAATAAATCAAATTAGATAAATTTTCAGACATTCTTTTAAGGGAAAACTGTCAAATAGGTCCTCGAACTTTCATAAAAAAGTCAATTAAGTCCTTCTATAGGAGACTCTGTCCGGTCGTCGCGATTTGGGGCGGTTCCCGGTGGAATTATTTGATTAAATTTTTTGAGCATCTTATTCATCAAGTCTAGTTTACTCATACCAAATTTAAGCTAAAAATTTAATCGGTAGCGCATTCAAATTAATTTGAGAACGCAAAAATGCGCAGTTATCTTAAAGAATTAATTTGAATGTGTTCCCGAATGAAATTTTAGCTGAAATTTGGTATGAGTAAACTAGACTTGGTGAATAAGATTCTCAAAAAATTTCATCAAAAAATTCCACCGGGAAATTCCCCAAATCGCGACGGCCGGACAGAATCTCCTATAGAAGGACTTAATTGACCTTTTTATGAAAGTTCGAGGACCTATTTGACAGTTTTCCCTTCTTTTAATATTACTGTTATACAAGTATACAATGACTAATAAATATAAATATATAAATATGTAAAGTCTTAATAGATTTTTATTCAAAATTAATTTGCCTTTATATTTTCCATGGTGAAACCGAACGTTGTAAACCTATTTTCCTTCCTACCCAATTTTACTGTATGATGGTTGGCTCTTCACAGCCTTGCTGTACCTACTTGATCCACCCTTCATCTTCCTCCTCATCAATTAGTCACATTAAAAATATGGTGCTTATAATTTTTTTTTATTTTGAAGGAGGGGTCCGCATCTAACATTCATAGCTGGAACGGGTTGCAACATGTCATCCTATTGTCACAGGTAATCAATGCCCTTCTTTCATATATTAGCCTATAAGGCACTTTCAGTTATAGCCGTGTTTAATTATATATTTTGATAGGGTTGCAGTTATATGCTTATAGAGGTGCTAGTGGTATTCAAGCATTAATAAGTAGCAACGCAAGAAAACTAGCAGAGCAAGATGAAAGGGCTGTCCTGGCATCAGGAACCCCATACACCATAATTAGGACCGGCTCATTGACTAATGTTCCTGGTGGACAACAAGGTTTCAGCTTTGAAGAGGTAGTTCAATAGTTAAGTCATCAACCTTTTTTTTTTAAAAAAAAACTTCATTTCAGAGAGTACAATTAACTTGGGCGAGTCACTTTCTTCAAAATCTCGCTTTAAAGATCTGTTTTAAAATGTGATCTGGTCTGGATCTTTGTGGTCTGGTCGAACCTTCTTGATATTTTCTTCTTTTCTAGTTTGAATATAATATCCATTTTAATCGGATTTATGCCGTTCTAGTTTAGTCTGAATACTTTGGTCTTACCTGAATGTTATATCTCTTATCTTGTCCTGATACGATTTAAATGAGAACAGGTAATAAGCACAGAGAAAAGTTTAAGTGTACAGAACATCACCTAAGTGGCTATGTATGTGAAATGGTGCTTTGAGCACTTGGGCATGTTGATCTGCAGAATGAGAGGTTAGATTTTAAAAGAGGGTTTTAATTTTCACTGTTTTCATCTTAGGGGAGTGCAGGGCGTGGAAAACTTAGCAAGGAAGATGCTGCCTTCTTATGTGTGGAGGCTCTGGATGCAGTACCACAAACCGGACTGGTATTTGAGGTTTGCTCTTTCACCTCAATGTTAACGTCACTAGACATATAAATATAGGCAATATCACAAACATTCAGATATATATATATATATATATATATATATATATATATATATATATATATATATATATATTCAAAGCAGGCTAGAACTTGATATTTTAAAGGTCAAACAACATTTTAGGCGAAGAGAACAAGTCCCAACTCTTTACTTTGTGGGTGTAGCAGCCTCGTCCGAAAAAGCTGAGCATAATAAACGGGCATGTTCCCTAAACTTTCCCGTGCTGTGCATTTTAACAGGTTGTAAATGGAAGAGAGAAGGTTTTAGATTGGAGGAAGTGTTTTGCAGGCCTAATGGAAAAATCAGTGAAGCAGGCATTGTGATTACTGGACAAAGAATTACTTCTCCTAGTGAATGCACAGGTGTAGATTTGAGTGCACAGTGTGAATGAACTGTTTTTTAAACACAGTATTTTATTTGAAAGGAAATTAATTTGGCAACCTACAATTTAAATTTGACACATATTCTTTTTCATATATTATACTCCGTATTATTTAACTGAAAAGTATGCTTTTAATTTATTTTGGCCATAATAAATCAAGTTCGTTGATGTGAATAATATCAACACCTTCCTTCTACAGAGAATTCCCAAAATAAAACTAAAATAATATAGACGTGCATAAATAGGACTTCTATGTTTTATGAGTAGTAACATGACAAAACAAAATTAAAAGCCTTCCTAGGCTTAGCTCCCAAGCTAGTTCAACGATGCCATGGGAGAAGTGTACGGGCTTGGCCTCTGCCACCGTCCAACAAATCCGTCGGTGGTGCCACCCTTGGACGAATTTGAGTGTTTGTAGAGTGTAGACCTCCAACAAGAATGTCATCTTAATAAGATCAGTGGCACAATGATGGCATTTTGTGCAAGCGTGGCATTTTCAAGTGCCAAAACATGGAATTCTTAGATGAAAATTAAGGCATTTTGAGTAGGATGGACCCGGGCCGGGTCTACCAGACCGGAACCGGTCCGAACTGGTACTGTTTCAAATCGACCCGGGTACGGGTTGGGTCTACTATACCCGAACCGGATTTTCTTGGGCCGGGCTCTGGGTCTCCAAAAAGTGAACCGGCCAATTTTTTTGTTTTTCAAAATGTTTGGGAGGTAAATGGGTTGGGCTGGGTGTTTTGGAGGGGTTTGGGGTGTGGGGGTGGGGAGGGGTAGGAAGTAATTAGAAAATTAAAAAGGAAAAAAAAAGGTACCCGGACCAACCCAGTAGCTACCCGGGCCGGTTCCGGGTCTCAAAAACCAAAAAACAAGCCCGGTCGGGCCCGACCCGAGTCCATCCCTATTTTTGAGGCTGAATGGCATTTTTTGCAAGAAACAATGTGATCATCAAATTAAGAGTAAAAATGTAAAATACGAGAAGAAAAAAAATGAAAAATTAAATTTCATATTGACATTTTCATAAGTTTAATGTCATAAAAATGACATCATTTTGCAAACATATCAAGAACCATTACTTTTTAAGGGCTGAAGTTTTGCAGTAATATTATCGTCTTTAAAAGTGTAATGCCATCGAAGTATATTTTTTCTAATAATCAATAGTCATGGCATTTTCATATCTGAAAGTAATAAAAAATAACACACTATTGGGAAATAGAAAAAAGAAAAGGCCGACAAGCCTAAAAAATGTAAAGTAAAAGAGCAAAAATGTAATGTATTTGTCATTGTAGATAATTAGATATGCATTTAGCATAATATGTACTAATAGACACATCGGTCCCATATTCCCATTCATGGGTTTATTCAATCCCCACTATTCAGAGGGGTTCATCTAATTGTTTTCTCATAAATATTATTAGGCTAAAGGTCCCTGAACTAAAAAAATGTCCAATTCACACCCGAACCTGCAAAAAATGATTCATTTTTTAATTTTTTACAGGTAAACAATGGTGAAAAAGGTCCAATTCACACCCTTAAACTATTAAAAAGTGGAGTGAATTCCGTAAATAGGAGTAAAAAAGTTTTGAAATTCTAAAATAGAACTATCATGTTTTTTATTTTTTGAATAGGAGAAAATTTCTGGCAAGTTTGACATTACTAGACTTTAAAACATGACATTTTTTCCAAACTTGTCAGATTACTCATATTCAAAGAATAAAAAACATGATACTCCTATTTTGGAATTTCAAAACGTTTTTCCTCCTATTTAGAGCAATTTCTATAAAAAGTGTCAAAATTGCAATAAATCAAAAATAAAAAACAAAAACAATAAATAAATTTAAAAAATCACTGGTTGTTTACTCGTAAAAAAATGAAGCTTGTTTCACCCTTTAGCCATATTTTTAATATACAAATCATGGACGAAAATTGAAATTAATAATTATTAATGATTATAATTTACATCGTGCCCTTCAAATTTTAAAAGTTAAAAGTTAACTTCTACTACCTCCGTCCTTTAAAACTTTGCAAAAGTTGACCGTCACGGAGAATAATAAAGTAAAAATTGCGTTGTTGAGGTTTGTGCAGATGAAAGAGAAATAACAGAAAGCACAAAATAATTGATTAAAAAGGAAAGTGACAAAGTTTTTTGGGACGTCTCAAAAAGGAAGGGTGGGAAAGTTTTAAGGGACGAAAGGAGTATTTTTTACAGGGAAAAGGGTCAAATAGACCCTTGAATTAACTTAAAAAGTGCAAATCACCCCTTATGTAGGAGGCTCTGTCCGGCTGTCTCCACTTGGGGTGGTTTTCGGTGGAACTTTTTTATGAAAGTTTTTGAGCATCTTCTTCATTAAGTCCAGTTTACTAATATCAAATTTAAGCTAAAACTTCAATTAGAAAGGTAGTCAAATGAATTTTTAAAGATAACTGCGCTGTTAAACGACTCAGTACATTTCAGAAAATCATTTGACTGTCTTCCCAGTTGAAATTTTATCTGAAATTTGGTATGAGTAAACTAGATTTGAAGAAGATGCTCGAAATATTTCATAACAAAATTCCACCAGGAACCACCCCAAATGGCGACGGTCGGACAGAGTCTCCTATATAAGATGTGATTTGCACTTTTTAAGTTAATTAGAAGGCCAATTTGATCATTTTCCCTTTTTTCTATTTTTGCATTCTATTTTTGTAGTGTAGTTGTGGGAATTTTCATTTTAAAAATAATTAATTTTCTTTAGACGTTTCACCACTGCTAAGTGACGGTTCGTCCTCGCAGCTCCTCAAACTGGGCCGCTGGACGCCGGCAGCGTTCATTGCCTCCTTGAACCTCGCCTGCTCGTGAACTCGTTCCTTCCTCCAGCCCAAGACGACCGCCCAACTTAGTTCTGCTCTCGCCTTCTCCTTTGGACTCCTAGAGTCCCAACCTACGAATTTAAGAAGTTAAGAAGATGGTTGGTACTCCCTACTCCTCTGAGTTATTTCTATTACATCCCTTTCCGAGTTTCTACCTAAAATTAGGTTTTTAAAACCTAAACTGAAATATTCATAAACTGTGTTTTTGTAAATGACGTAATAAGGCTGCGATTTAGTAAAAGTTTGGAATGTTGGCTTTTAAATGAATTGTTTTCGTGCATTGTTACTCTTATTTTTATGAACTCTCATCAATTTTACTGTATAGATCGAATTGTTTTTCCTAATTTTATAATTTGCGAAGCTATGAGTGATGAAATTTTTCCTATTAGAAACCGGAATGATTTTCCCACTACATTCGTGTTATCTTTTGTTCATAATCAATAACTTGATATCATGAACTGTTACTGAGACAAATATAATATACGTAGCATTGTATAAAAAGGAATGTATAACAAGAGAGACATGGGAAACTTGTTTTTCTTGTGCTTCGTTTGAAGGCAGTAACATTCATCCTCTTTGCATTGAGTTATTCATTCTCTGTATTACGGAGTATATAGTTACTTATTTACTTTTCAAAAGAAACCTTTAAACATGATATGAGGAATGTATATTGAGATAGATGTTACTTTGAAATTTGTTAGAACTTCAAAGTTAAACAAATTGTAGAACCTTTTTGTAGTGTTTTGAACTTAGATATTACATTTCACTTGATGTAATAGTTTTTTGTTGACTAAGATACAATTGTAGAATTGTCATGCTACACAAGATTATTATTTTTAAATTTAAGTTTTGAATTTATTTGAAACACCCAAAATACAGAGGCTAGATCCGCAACTGAGTAAAGCTAGAATGAGGTTGGGGGTACATAGTTTGAGGCAAGTTTTTTACTCCGTATTAGATTTGACCTGAAGTTCTATAATTAGCAATGAATTTGAATATAAATGTCTCAAATTCTCAATCCCTACCCAAGATTTTAAAACATTATAAAAACATGGTTGGGGTTTCAGGTTTACAAAAAACACCAAAAACCCAACTCAAAACCTGAACTATTTTTTGCTACGTAATATATAAAATCATTTAATTCATTGATTCGTTACTTTTTATATTAGTTTGTCATATATTTATGCATTAACAAGATGTATTTTTGAGTTTTGATCATGTTATTGACATTGGGTTAAAATTTACTTTTACTTAAACTAAAGTTGATTAATTTTAAAATTTGATATTTGATGACCTGACTACCAAAGCGCATCATAAGTTTTAGGACAGACTTTTAGATCTTAACGTTGAATACCTGAGTACCTGAGCTTTTTTGGCGTTCTATACTGAGTCGGATCAGACCCGAAGTCCACTCTTACCCCCGAATGAGACATATGCATTATCTCATCATCATTCTAAATAAGGATGAATGTACATTGACAACTTGATTTCCCCCAGGCTCATTTTAGGGGGTCCAAAGTCAAAGAGATGGTTTGGGGCACTAGCCACCCCATTAAAATATGGACCTTCACACCTGAAAGGTTAAGCTTCAGATAGCTTTATTGTTTATTTGGAATATATTAATATATTTCTTGCTCTATCCTATCGCAGAAGCAGATGAAGATCAAGCGAGTGATGCAGTTTTAGTAACGAACGGGTGTCATGAGATTGGTCAGGTTTGTATATGGAGAGGACATTATTCATTTTAATTTTTTTTCTATGTGTGACTTTGACTTGTGGATAGTATACTGTGTAAAGATGATTATAATATCATCATTGATAGTCAAAAGTACACGGGCTAAGTTGCTAGCTAAGGATAAGAAGGCCGCTAGGGAGGCATTTGGCGCTTATAATGAGGTCAGAATAAGGGGATCTTTTAGAGAATATGCCTTACATTGCTGTTTGTCTTTATTATTGTTATGGCTACCATAAACTTTCTGGATTTTCAATGAAGCCACCTACTGGAGATGCAAAGAGTTGGTTGTGCTTAAAGACAGCTCTTAACGGTGTTCGTGCACTTGTATGCCCAAGTGTATGTTATCTCTTGTCAGCTCTATTAGCTTCTCTGTGAAACCTGGTAAATGTTAGGCAAAGAAAACATGGAGGAAGAATGGAAGATAAAAGGGAGTTTTCAAAGGAAAGAAAATTAAATTGGTTAGAACTCAATTAATAAATTTTAGATGGTTGTTCAAACTTATTATTTCTAGTATTCCATTATACAAAGACTTTGAATATAGATGTATGTAAAGTTTTCATTTTTATTCAATTCTGATCTGTCTTCATTGGTGAAACCAAACAATAAAACCTATTTTCCTTCATTTCCAATTTAAATAGTATGAAGGTTGGCTTTTCATGGACTCTCTTTTCCTACGCAATCTGCCCATATCTTCTTTGTCATTGACATAAAAATTATACTATAAAATATATTTTTATAGGAGGGTTTCGCACCTAACGCTCAGAGCACTAACGATTTGCAACATGTTACTATATTGTCAAAGGTAGTCACTGACTTACATGCATGTATATGTCACTTCCAGTGAGAACCATGTTTAATACTACGTATATGTTTTGATAGGGTAGCCAGCCATTCACTCCCTTTTCGCAGCTTCATGAGCAAAAACTCCTTGAATCCCATTTAGTCTCTCTCCTCGATGTCTGCAATGGTCTACTCCAAATCCGGCAAGTCCACGCGCATGTGATCCGAAGAGGCGTGGACCAGTGCTGCTATGTTCTCACCAAGCTCATTCGTACGCTCACCAAAATCAACGTCCCTGTGGACCCTTACCCGCGTCTGGTGTTCGAAAGGGTCAAAGACCGGAACCCTTTTTTGTGGACTGCCATGATCCGAGGCTACTGCATGGAAGGGTCATTGGAAGAGGCTTTCTGGATGTACGGTCTGATGAGGAGAGAAGGTCTTTCCCCAGTTTCATTCACTTTTACAGCATTATTAAAGGCTTGTAGTGATGTCTTGGAGCTCCAGTTAGGGTGCCAGATCCACTGTCAGTGTGTAAAGGTGGGCCGTCTCTCTTCCGACCTGTACACGATGAACACTTTGATAGATATGTATGTGAAATGTGGGCTCCTTGACTGTGGGCGGAAGGTGTTCGATGAAATGCCTGTAAGAGATGCGATCTCCTGGACTTCCCTGATCTTCGCGTATGCCAAGAGTGGGGATATGGGATCTGCAATGGAACTGTTTGATGGTCTGCCTTTCAAAGATATGGTAGCCTGGACCACTATGGTCACAGGCTTGGCCCAAAATGGCAAACCCAATGAATCCATAGAGATCTTCTGCAGGATGCAGAATGCAGGAGTGGAGACGGATGATGTGACCTTGTCGGGCGTTATATCAGCATGCGCTCAACTGGGCTCCACCAAACACGCCGATTGGATAAGGAGCGTGGCTGAGAGGTCAGGATATGGGCCCGCAAATAACGTCGTCGTCGGTTCGGCGTTGATCGATATGTACTCCAAGTGTGGTAGCGTTGAGAATGCTCATGACGTTTTTGAGAAGATGAAGATGAAGAATGTGTTCTCATATAGCTCCATGATTCTAGGGTTTGCCATGCACGGACATGCAAGCCGTGCGTTAGATCTGTTTGAGAGCATGTTGAGGACAAACAGTAGGCCGAATGACGTCACCTTTCTTGGTGTTTTACTAGCATGCAGTTACTCAGGTCTGGTAGAACAAGCCAAACACTTTTTCCATGCGATGGAGAATAAATTTGGAATCAACCCAGCTGTGAATCACTATGCCTGCATGGTGGATGTTCTTGGCAGGGCAGGGAAACTAGAAGAAGCACTGGATCTCATTCGGAACATGCCCATAAAGCCAAATGGAGGTGTCTGGGGAGCCTTGTTAGGAGGTTGCCGGATCCACAGCAATCCAGAAGTAGCAGAGATTGCTGCAAACCACCTCTTAGAACTTGAGCCAGACGGAATTGGAAATTTTGTCCTTCTCGCGAACATCTATGCTTCCGCCGGAAGGTGGGAAGATGTGTTGAAGGTTAGGAAGATGATGAAATCAAGATTACTCCGAAAGAGCCCTTCACGCAGCTGGGTCGAAGGGAAAGATGGGGAAATCCGCGAGTTTTATGCCGGGGATTCGACCGACCCAATGTCCTGTGAGATTATGAGAGTGCTTGAGGATCTGGTTGTGCAACTTGGGTTTGGCGGGTATGAACCGAACCTGAGTTGCGTGCCTTACGATTTGGGCGATAAGGAGAAGAAACGGATTTTGATGAGTCATAGTGAGAAGCTTGCTTTGGGTTATAGCTTGCTGACCAGCAGTTCGGTCTCCGATATTAAAATAATGAAGAATCTCAGGATTTGTGAAGATTGTCATTCGTTCATGTCCGGTGTGTCTGGTCTGAGTGGTAGGGTAATTATCATCAGGGATAACAAGAGGTTTCATCATTTTCGTAATGGGTTCTGCTCTTGTGGCAACTTCTGGTGATGGAATATAGGAAACTCCCTTTTTGTTCTTGATATACTCTGAGGTGTTACTATTAACTGTAGAGTATTAAGTGTCCAAGTATACCACACTTGCTGTATTAATTTTGTGCTTTATTTTAGTTACTAGCTAACCCCAATTTAATCTATGCAGCCTTTCCGGTTTGTATACTTTTTGTTAGTATTGAAATGTTAATTCTATACTGTTTTTGTCCGTCTATTTTTGGAACATTAGGATTTAGGAAACATCTTTGTGGATGAGTCTAGACTCCACAACCACAAGTATTATAAAACTGGCATTAAACTTGGTGGGCCGATTTAAAGTTGAAAAATGAGACAAAGATAACAAAATCGAGAAGTATATGTTACTCCCTGCGTTCCACATGATAGTTTCATACTTCAACGTAGGCATGGACCGGTTCGGGCCCGATTCGGGCCTCGGTTCAAGAAGGGGAGGCCCGGAACCGGCCCGGGTAACCCCTACTTCAACGGGTCAACCATTATTGGTTTAAACACTTGCAACACATGTGTATGTAATTATCTGTACATACAGACATTACATGTCACTCTTCTACAGTTATACTTATGTTTCCTTCTAGAGTTCACCATGTTGCATTCATTTCAGAGGTCCGACCATCTTGATTACATTTTTTTTTGTTTCAGTTAGATTTCTTAACATAATATTTTCTTTATAACCAAAGGTTTACGCTTTCAAAAGGATTAAATGATCATGATGTGAGTATGGATCTCTATTTTCTCCACCTTTTTAAGTGATTCTAATTTGCTCTGCAAAAACTAGGAAAAAGAATTCAATTATGATGACGTAAGTATGTTCTAATTGTTAGGAAATTGATGTAACATACCTCGAAAGTACGGCAGTGGAAGTTTAAAATTTTCCCAAACAGATCTTTCCTGATTATGACAAAACAACGAATATGATAATAATAACAGATTTGAGTTAGAACTTACAGATCTTCCAGTCTAGCGGTGGTAATCCTTGACCTTTGGTATCCACGTGATTTCTCCTTTCCGAAAGAACGATTAGATTTCCCTAAGAGAAAGACTAGGAAATCTCTTCGCAGAGAAATAAACTGGTAATACTGAATCTAAAAACTAGTTTTATGAATTATGAAGGAGGAGGGTGTATTTATACTAGTTGTAAACTAGTTTCCTAATCACAACCAAAGTCTTACTCATTAATGAGTCATAGTCCTATCAGGACTAATACATCATTATTAATTAAATAAGTTGGATAAACATAAACATAATAATAATAACAATAGAGAAGTGGCTGCACGCCACTCCCTATATGTTTTTATTATTATTTAGTTTATTTCATTTTCCTTTTTAATTCCAAATCAATAAAAGAAAATACCAACTTTATTTAATAATAAATACACCTTAATTAGGTATAATAAATCTAATTTATCACACTTAATTTATTCTATCAAATAGAACTCTCCTTCAACATCATGAATTAAATATAGTTTAATCCAACTAATATTTAATCCATTTCAGTATTACAAATTAAATATTATTTAATCCAATTAATATTTAATTCCTTCTAACAATTCAATCGGAAGGTATAATCACTTGTTGTGTGACCCATAGGGCCTTATATATTAAGCACTAATCAAATTAAGGTCTTAGCAGAATCCCTAGACGATTTACCTGACAATCTTAATATATAAGGACGTTTGCAAGGACTATTCAAACTCCCTGTAATATAGAGCTCATAGTGATACGGTCCTTTCATTCAACGAACATTCAACTAAGTCTAGAACATGATATTGTGTCTATCCCAATAACTCAGTCTCTGTCTCTCAATCTTTCTAGATGATCCATAACGATCATATTCGATATCCAAAACGAATATATCTTTGCATTGGCCAATGACTTTATGATCCATCTAGATATGAAAAGTAGAATGTTCTCTCTTAATCTATTATGAGGAATGAATCCTTTCTTGGCTCAACTACTACTCCATGTGCTTCGTGATGCACCCAACACATGCCGTATCTACCCCGATTGGAGTGCAAGCGTTGGTCATGGTCAAAGTACATCACTCCGCACATGTAGTACGTATTGACCTCAAGTCGGAGGACTATTACACTACTCTATACGCCGATAATCCCATAGACACATGAATAGAACTTATCAAATGGTTTCTCGGTGGGTATGCCAATATTCTCTAAAATATCTATGTGACCATCATGAATTACAGGAACTCATAGTTGTGAGATCAGCTATACTTTCTAAAAGTATGATGCAGTACACATACCAATCTTATCGCATATCATCAATATCCCATTCTTAATGATCATTGATTGGGGCTATTTTAGGACCTTATGTTATATCATATAAGCTCCACTTACTTATTGACAACATAAGTCCAAGGGAACACAATTATGAATAAGATATTGACAATCGAAATACTTAATCATCAATGTGTAATACCGTATATATCAAATATATAAAACTGAATGTGATCAAGTACATATATCTCTAAAAAGTGATTGTCGCTAGGACATATATACTAACACTAATATGCTCTAAAGTTTTAGTTTGGTTAAATATGGAAATCTCAAGTTATTTAGATTATAATCCAAGTGTAATACATCATTTTTATTGACAAAGAAGTCTACAATAAATGGAAAAAATGAAGAAATTATTAGGCTCTGAGGTAAAAAAATCTTTAAAAAGATATATCAACTAATGGAAAAAAATGAAGAAAGAGTGTGTTTGGAATGAACTATTTCGCTATGTTTTTAATCTGCATATTACTCATTAGAAATACTTCTGGAATGATATCCTTTCATGTTAGAAGAGTTCTAAGATACAATACCATTGAACTAAATCATCTAAAAAATGCCTATTCTTGATCACCGCTGTAGTAGTCTTTAAGGAAAGCCAAGGAAGCTGGTGAAAGAGCACACAAGATATTGTTTATATTGATCTTGCTCATTTTCCAGAATTACCAATGTCTATATCCTACATGGTTTGCAGGTAATGACACCTCAATTCTGCTTTTATTATTCTACTTAATACTTATATCAAGTTGGTGGTAATTTAAACTAAATGTTTCTTTTCAGTTCCAATTCAAGGCACATATTTGCATATAGAAATTAGTCTAAATAGGACTAAAACTATGGCAAAAACTCAAAATAGGACTTCATATGTTTTTTTTTATCAAAATAGGACCATATCAGACATCAGTCCTATTTGAAACATACCTATTTTTCATTCCATTCTTACCCTTCCTTCAAATATGAGTTAAAAATAGTCAAAAGCCATAATTAAATGTTTAATTCATAATAAATTCGAAAATTTTTCTAAAATTCGTAGAAAAATAATTAAAAAATTTAAAAAATATTTATAAAATAAAAAATTAAAAAAAATATTAACTTTGTTTTGAAAAATTAATTAAAAATAGTAAAACTCCATTAAAAAAATTAAAAAATATATGGATGCCTTTCCCACCGCCTGTACTACCTCCCTGCACCACCACCTCTGGACGGTGAAAACATGACATTTTCCCTAAAAACTGTCATTTTTTCTGAAAATGCCAAAAAATGACATATTTCTCTTTGAGAATGCCAACATTTTCATTGTTTTCTGCCATAAATATGGCATTCGTAATGAATTTGACATTTTTTCCCCTGGTGACTGGAGGTGGTGCAGAGGCAGCAGAGGCGGCGGTGATTCTTTTTTGAGTTTTTATTTTTTTTTAATTTTTTTTTTGAAAAAAAATAAATTATTATTATCAAAATATTTTTATTATTTTTTTAGTATTTTGTACGGATTTTAGTTATTTTTTATTATTTTATTATGAATTAAAACATTTCAATAGCTATAAGGGTATATTTGTCCAAGACATACATAATTAGTCCTATGAAAACATAGTTTATTTTTTGGTCCTATTTGTGCAAAGTGAGTGACTTATAGTCCTATTTTGATAATTAACTCATTTGCACATGGGATTCCAAGTCACGGAAATGAAAAGTCATTTACTTTCAACATAAATGATGACTCTGTTTACCGCAAACATTAGATTTGGTTTACTTTTGTTTTCAAATTAAGACTTAAATTAAATTGCAGGTTAGAGTTTGGAAGTTCAAAACGTAATTGTTTTATGTATAGTCATGAAATATGGAAACTCCTAACTGTATAAATACTTACTGTATACCTAACTATTAAGATGTGATTCATTAATTTTTAATTATGCATGTGTTCAAAGTTTGCATTATTAAGTAGTGGCTAATGGCTATATGTATTATGTAGTTAATATGATGTAAACTTTAAACACAATTATAATCAATAAAAGTTGTAAAGTCATTTTTTTCTATTAAAACTTTCTTGTTAGATATGAAAAATTAATCTCTAATAAATATGTTGTACAATCACAAACTTCCACTTTTTCATAAAATAAATTGAACTGCAAATGAAGTAAAAAGAATCGAAGCACAAACTTCAAATAAAAGTATGTTTGATAATGTTAAAATTAGCTCACTTTATGCAAGAATAAAGCCATCTTCTGGATTGAAGTTTATTATATGTGATGATGACGTAAAACTGGCTAAGAAGACTTCAAATAATGTTAACAAGGAAGAATATATAATAATTTGTAATTTTTTATCTTCATTTCCTTTTGTTAAAACAATATATGTGTTGTTCTATCTTTACCACAACATTTCTATATATTTCCAAATAATGTATTGGTCACTAACTGAAAAATCTAGTTAATTAAATTTTTTTAGACGTTTCACTCTGTGTGCACTCATCTTCGTAGCTCCTCAAACTGGGCCGGTGGACGCCGACAACGTTCCTTGCCTCCTTGGACCTCTCCTGCTAGTGATAGAGACCCACGATTAACATCCTGATTTTGGCCAAAATTTCAAGCATCTTTGAGAATTAAACTGAAGTTTAGCACAACTTTTCAACCACAGACGGATGGTCAATCCGAGCAGAAGGACGTATGTACCCCGGAGGCTTCATGTGTCGAAGGTCGTACGTCCTCGGGGTCCGTCATGTGTTGAAGGACGTACGTCCCCTGGGGCCTTCATGTGCAGAAGGACATACGTCCCCTGGGGCATTCATTTGCTAAAGGACGTCGTCCCCTGGGCCTTCAGGTATGGGGCCTAAGGCAACACCTTGTTGTAGTATGGACTGTCCGGAGTCTTGTTTCCTGTGTTTGGGCCACTTGGGTCTGTTGGGCCAGTTCGTAGT